TTCCATCAAAAAGCCAGTTTGTCAAGAGCCGGCCGGGCTGTGGCGGCAAACCAACTGGCTAGCCCTTCATTTCCTGCTCTGTGTGGGCAAAGGGGGCCTGCAACACCAGCAGCCCCCCAGGTCACCTGGACGGATCCCTGCTAGTTTTACAGCCCGATGTTGAGGGGCCTCTTTTTCCCAGCCCTCCTGGTGCAGGCTGGGGAGCCTGGTGTTGGCCTGGGACCCCTTGCTCCTCCTGGGGCACCTCCACAACCAAGACATCCCTCCCGATTCTTAACTGCCACACCTGGGCATGGAATTAGCTCACCACGTCTCCATCCCTCCTACCAGTCTCCACATGGCTTCTTCTTTATGTCCTTAGTTAAAAGAGTTTTCTATTCAGCTCCTCTTCAGGCGGTCCTCAAGGGTGGTTACTGTATGATTTGGTTGTAATTTTGCTGTGGTCATGGAGGAGGTGAGCACAGTTTACTGTCGTTCACAGTTCCACCATCTTCCTCGCACATCGTAAAGAAAGGCCAAGAAGATGAGTTCAGGGGCTTCTCCCTTCAGTCCCCCTCCTCCTTGACTAGTTTCTCTAGCTGCTGGGCACTGCTATCACTGCTTTCTTACGGTAAAATTCCAACTAGTAAATATGCACATAGAAAGAACGATGGAAGTGGATAATCACCACTTGGCAAATACTCCAGTGTTTGTGGTCAGAGAGTGTCATCAGCGGACACGGCCCTGGGGACTGGTGGGAACAGCTGGCACTGTCCCCTGGGTGGGGAACACTTCCTCTGCACGAACTGACTTGGGCAAGTGCTGTCCAGCTGTCCACCCCTTGGGGTTCTCGGCAATTATCTCTGCAGCAGAGCAGAGAAGGGGGAGTCAAGAAGGCAAAACGCAGGATGTGAGGTTAGCTGGCCCCGCTCCCCGGCCGGACGGGGCCGGGACAGGGCTGGAGGTGTGACTGACGAGATCAGTGGGTGACGTGCGTCTACCTGGAACTCCCTGCCCCTGGAGTCTTCGCTGACTTCCCCTGCCTGGAACCTGCTCAGTGCCCACAAACAGGCCCAGCCCTTGCCGGGAATAGGTTTCAGTGAGTTCAAGGGAAAGACACTGCAAAGACCCTGCATTGCCCCCACGACCTGCCCTGTGTACCAGGGGATAGGTGCTTGATGGACGGTGGCTGCGAATTCAGCTCAACAGGAAACAGGTGGTTGAGATTACAAAAGAGGATGAGCCAACCGGAACAGCAAAATAATGGCGATAATGGAATAAAATGAACATCCTCGGGTTCACGCTGATAAATGAATAAATAGATAGGAGGGAGGGTCAGTTTTTTCTTAAAGTCAGATTCCCGTTAATAAATGTAGACGGGGTGATGGAAATAGACAATCACCACTTGGCCAATACCGCAGCACTGACTGTCAGAAAGTGTCATCAACAGATGCTAAAATTAGTGGGCGAAAGTATGGTAAGAAGCAGGATATTTGCACAGTTTTGAATGACCTCCTCACAAGATGCTTAGTAATTACACGTGAATAAATCGTAATTTTATAGTGAGACATTCTGGCAGACAGACACCACTTTTCCGAGTGACCAAAGTTAACACTGTCACTCCTGGGCCACGATGAAATCGTGTCCCTCTGGCATAATGGGCTGGGAGGACGCCGCATCACTTCTGTGGGGTCCCTGTCCGAATGCATACCCTCGGTCTACTTAGGAAGAAGCGTCAGACTGAAATTTGGGACATTCTGCAGTTCTTGAGAACTGGGGTGGTTAGGAAAGACGAAGAGAGACTGAGGCTGCGTTGTAGGACGGACAGACTGACACAGCAGCCGAAAGCAGTGTAAGGTTCTGCTTTAGACCCTGGACCAGAGAAAGGATGTTCGTAGGGCAGCTGCTGACATTTAAATAAGGTCTCTAGGATAGTGAATAATGCTGTGTCCATGTTCATCTCCTGGCTTAGAGCACGGTGCTGTGATTTATAAGACGTTAACATTAGGGGAAGCTGGCTGACGGGTATGCAGGAATTCTGTGCACTATTTTTGCAAGTCTAAAAATTACTTTGAAGTAAAAAGCTTTAAAAAGGAAGAGGAGGGTATGAGGAAAGAACCTGTAGCATCCCCAATGCGAGCAACAAATGTCGACGGAAGCTTTCAGGAGTTTAAGATGGAACTTTATTGGCCAAAGTTTCAAAGTTTTACCTGCGCAGGGGCGAACTCTCGGGGTGTCCAGAGACATGGTGCCAAAATGGCTGCAAATGAGAGTCGCTCCTGGCGCTTACAGCCTAGGGTTTTTATTGGGGTGAGCAAGCAAGCGAATACAGAAGCAGACGTAGCTGTTAGCAATTGGCTATCTCGAGAGAACACACATGGCTATGTTCTCTGCTTGCAACAATGGATACTTTTCTGCAAAGACAAGGTCATGCACAAGGCGGTTTATCTTGTTCAGCACTCTTTGTACTTTCTGTACTTAATGTCTTCCTTGCTGAGACAGTCTGGAGCCTGCCTCGGGTTCCTCTTGGCTACTTTTATCTAATTCCGGGCCTAACAAACCCAGGTTCTAGAACGTAACTGTTCCCCAGGACGGAACCAGGACACTATGGCTTTTGTTGGGCGGCTCCCTAGGCCTTATTCTCCCTACTGGTAACGGGCGTTTGGACTAGAGACTTGGAGACCCACCCACCTGGAAGGGCCCCCTGCCCTGTGTCGAAGTGAGAACCCACCGAGGGTTTGGTCTCCACTCTAGGTGGCCTGTGGACCCCAGAGAGAAGCAGATGTCTAGGTGCTTGGGCACTGCTCTGGGAACATGCATCTTTCACCATCCCTGTCAGAGGAGGGCACTGTCAATACGACTGGAAAACCAAGGCTCAGAGAGGTGAAGCCGCTGTATCTAGGTCACACAGAAGGTACACACAGAGCCAGACTCAAGCCCCACTCTGTGTGACCCCAATGCCAGTGCCTGTAACTACCTGGCATTATTCGATTGCTGCTCAATAGGGTAGAGGCAACAGGCATTCACCAGGCACCTGCTGCCCATCAGGCTGACAGTGAGGCCAGAAGTGAAGGTGGCTGAGACATTGACCCTGGACCACAGATGCTCTCCTGGCAGAGAGCTGCCCTCATAGTGCCCAACATACAGTGGGCAGTGCGTTACACACACACACTCATTCATTCAGGCTCTGCTCTTGCCCAGACCTGGGCTCAGGCCGGTGGGTCAGATACAGTCCTTACCCTGGGAGCTCCTGACCCGACAGGGGAGTGGGCAAGGAAATAGGCAGCTAGCTATGTAGAGACACATGCTGTGTTGGGAATGGTGGGGGGAGAGGGAAGATGGTTTAGGAAGCCTAGGAGATGAGAAGATTGCAGACACACCGTGGGTGAAGCCAACACTGTACCGCTTGAAGCAAGTTATAGTCAAAGAAGAAAAGCTGGGTCGGGTTCAAGGTAGGATGCTGCTGGGGATGAACGGAGTGGGAGGTTGGGAGGGCCGCCTAGATAGGGTGTTACAAGCTCCAGGGGTTCACCACTGGGGGTGTTCTATTCAAGGAGACGTGGTTGTCACAAGGTAGTTTAATTTACTTGCAGCAAATAGAGGAGACAGGATCTATATCCAAAGCTGTCTCCCAAAAGGGAGACTTAGCCATTGCTTATATACACTCTTCGGCCAATTACATGTTGATTTCTTCTTTGTAGTTGGCCTCACTCATCAGATTGGGTTCTTGTCAAGCTCATAGTGTTTACAGCTGCATCTGCAAAACAGTGTGCTACAGTTTAACATTTGGCAAGGCTGTATTTAATAAGAACTGCCCAGACTTAGAGACCCTTGTCCTCTCTAATGATTCCCCCCTGAGATTTGTCACTTTTCATCCTCAGGGGACTAGACTCGAGTATCATAATTCTGTAACCGCTTCCTGCTGAACAGGGGTGGCATGTGTCTTTGACGTAGAGGAGGGAAATTCTCTGGCCACCGGACTCATGAGCCTTGGGTGCCCTAGGTGCCGGGATTTGTTAGAGCAGGGGTGTACAAAGAGAGCGCAGCTCCGACAGGAGACATGTCATAAAAGGCAAGGCAGAAGCAGGGGAAAAACATCAGGGACCAAGACGCTGCCTCTTAAACTCACAAAGATGTCCGCGAGGGAGAGATGGGAAGGTGCTGTCAGGTTCGAACCTTCTTCCCATGCGATTCAGGACGCAGAGCCATGGTTTCTATTCAGGAATCAGTTATTGAGCTGCTAGGTCTATCCGGGACTTGGAAGGACAGGCAGGGTCTGGGCAGAAAGTGACCATGCAGACCCCAGTGGATGAAACACAGCAATCCCAGAGCGGGAAGGGACACCATATCCAGTCGGTGTTCCGTGATTACTCAAGCTCAGTGACACTCGCCATGTGGGCAATCGAAGAGCTGCTCCTCGTGACGCACCTCGGCCAGGGGAGGCAGGACAGCTCAGGAGGAAGTCCAGGCACAGCCCTCTGCCTCCGCTCTTCTGGGGCAGTGCACAACAGAAAGACCTCCTGTGGGGGCAGGAGACACTCCGGGGGTACAAACGTGTGTGTGTGTGTGTGTGTGTGTGTGTGTGTGTGTGTGTGTACAGGAGACACAGGCGGTGGGGAAGTCGAACACATGAGGCCACGTTGTTCAGGCCCACACAGCACGAGGCCCTCCAGGATCAGACATCCTGTTAGACACCATCCCCTAGTGAGCCAGCTGTATAGCTGCAGCTAGGAGACCAAAGCCCTTCTAAACATCAACAGACAGGGAGAAAGTACCACTAGCTCACAAACTCTCTGTCCCTCAAACCCACTGCCCAGGAGGCACTGGGATGAGCTTTCAGATGAGCAGATCATCTGGGGTCTGTATAACCCACAGATTCCATCTTTCCCAGACTGGCTACTCCCCAGCTTTGGAAACTGCTAGTAATCTTCCAGAGAGGTGTGGTCAGAGACATGTTTTCCAATAACACTGTTTGAGAGAAAGAGTGAGAGAGAGGAAGGAAGACAAAGAGGGAGAGAGAAACATTTCCTATATAAGCCCTGACCCAGAATCAAGACTGCAGCCAGGGGTATCGGGACGATGCTCTGACCAATGAGCTGCTGGGCCACAGCCAAGCTGGGCTTATTATCAGTGAGAGAAAACAGTGTGTGGCTGTGCAGCCAGGCTGGGCTGGGGCAGGGTGCCTTCAGCCTTCAGTCAGGATGTGTGGGGGATGTCCGGAGAGCGGAAGAGCTTAGGAGGAAGAAGGCATCCTCTGTACTTCCCTGAGTAAGAAGGACCCCAGACGCTGCAGCTGTCCTCCTGCGCACATCTCCAGGCAAGTGGATCTGGCTCTGGTACGTTATGTCCACTTTCAGAGTGGGCAGGGGCGGGGTCCCTGCTTAGGGACTGCAGGGAGAGATTGAACGCGGTGGCCTGGCACACAGGGCAATGGGTGGGGAGAGGGAGGTGTTACCAGGGGTCGCTGGGCAGCTTTCCTTTCCCTCCACGGCGTCTGTTGGAGCAGTCGCCCCAGGGGCTGGGGAGTGAGGTGGTCTGCTGGCCACTTCCCAGCTTGACTCCAGCTCTGACAATCTGCTTCATGGAATCTGAAAGCCCCTGAGAGTTGGTATCAGACATGGCTGAGCAACCTCAGGCGTCTACTCTCCTCTCTGGGCCTCAGTTTCCCCAGCTGTACTATGATGCAGACAGACAAAATGGTTTTTAAGGGTTCCCCCCTCCCAGGGCGGACGTTCCCCAGCTCTGTGATGTTTTGCACACATCCACGGTCTTTCCCGGTGCTCCCCATCCTCTCAGGACTGCCTCCCAAATCTCAGCCTCTCCTTCTTCCCCGAACAGTCCCAGGACCCCCCCTTATCCATGCCAGATGGAGCCAAGTGTCATTTTAGTGGCTGGAAGAGAAACCGATAGTCATTGCCGTGCATTCATTTATCACAAAAACTCCCCCAAGGAGGCATTTTATAGGTGAGAAAACTAAGGCTCAGAGAGGTTAAGTAATTTTCCCAGGGCTAATCAGCCGTTAAGAAGTGGACTGACCTATGCTGTCTACCATGCTGTGCTATGCTGCGTGTGCCACCCTCCCGGGGCTGTTGGTTGTGTTCCATTTTGAACCAACATAATGCTGAGGTACAAATGCAGGGAGCCCCAGAGGTAGACTTTCAAGCAACCACAGCAGAGGCTGAAAAGTGAGAACAATTCGGGAAAGATGTGAAAACCCCAATTTCTTTAGCTGCAACAGGTCTTTGAAGAGTCAGGCTCAAAGACTGCTTAGTTTTTATTCACTGACATAAGCTTTGAGAGGAGGGGTTTCCTTGTGGTTTATCACTGTCACAAACATCCCCATTTCCTGATGAGGGCCAGGAAAGCACTGAATAATAATGTGAGGTCCCGGGGGAATTGCTGTGGGGAGCAGGCAGACCTCACCTTCCCCGGGGAACAGGAGGCAGCATGTTAACGGAGGAGACTCCTGCCCTGCTGGAGACTGGAAAAGACCACTCTCCTCCAGCCAGACTCCGATTCTACACGTCTAGGGAGGTTTCGTACAGCAGACAGGGCTCTGGGCGTGAACACAGACAAGATACGCCAGGACGGTCCCGAGGGTAATTCCAAGATGGTGGTGGGTGGGGAGGGAGTCTAGGGTCATGGGGTGTTTTTTAGCCTCTCTTCTATTTTTTCTAGTATTTGCACATTTTACATTGAGCATATATTACTATTGTAATTAGGAAAAATAACATGTTTAAAAAGGGAAGAGAGAAAGACAGCGACTGTTCAGTGGTCCAGGACTCAGTCAGTGGTCAGAGCCGTAGGGTCAGCTCTGCCCAGCTTGTGGTGTGGCCCTGGACTTCTTGTGAAACCAGGGAGGTGGCACCTGCTGCCTCTTCCCAAGGGAGCCAGGGGGACCTGCAAGGACCGGGGTGTGAAAGAGCGTCGGGGAGTACAGAGCTGCGTGAACATGACAAGGGTAGTTACTACTGTTTTTCTTGTATTTTTTACACTGTACTGAACCCAAATGCAATGATTTTCATGGTGGACCACGCAGAGGGCAGCTGTCTCCCTGTGAATCTAAGGAAAGGGCTTACCCCAGCGTCTGGTTCAGGACACAGGCTCTGGGGCCAGCGACAGGGGCTTGATTTCCAGTCTTGAAATCCACTTGCTGTGTGTCCTTGGGCACATTACTCCCCCTCTCTGAGCCTCCTTTACTCATTGGTAAAATAGGAATAATGGGAATAATAAATAGGCCCATAAGGTTGTTGTGAGCAGTTAAGTGCATTAATACATATAGACTTCCAGCTAAGATGGAGGTGCCTCCTTGCACAATTACGAGAAAGAAAACAAAAGAAACTAAAAACAAAAACAACCAGAACTGCCAGAAAATCAAACTATGTGGAAGTCCGATGACCAAAGAGTTAAAGAAGAAACATTTGTCCAGACCGGTAGGAGTGGCGGCCTGGCAGCTGGGGTGGAGAGGGCCAGGCAGGTGATGCGGGCTTGGCAGTCCCACATCTGCGTGTGGATAAACCAGGAGGGACAACTGGAGAGTGAGATAAACCGCACAACCCTGGGTTCCAGAGCAGGAAAAGAAAGTCTCAAAAACCTGTGACTGTAAAGACCTGTGAGGGTTACTGTGGCAGGAGGAACTCTAAGCCTCACAGGAGAGTTCGTTAGAGAGACCCACAGGGTCCTAGAATGTACACAAACCTTCCCACTCAGGAATCAGCACCAGAAGGGCCTAATTTACTTGTGGGCAGCAGGAGAAGTGATTGAAAGCCCCTTGAGAGCTGAGCAAGCGGCGTTGTCCCCTCTCTGACCACTCTCCCGCGTACAGCAGGGAGGTGCGCTGCCCCGCCCTGGTGAATATCTAAACCTCCACCCTTACAACATAACAGGTCCACCAAGATGAAGAAATATGGCCCAAATGAAAGAACCGATAAACTCCAGAAAAAGAACTAAGCAATGAAGAGATAGTCACCCTATCAGATGCAGAGTTCAAAACATTGGTAATCAGAACGCCTACAGAAATGGTTGAGTATGGTCACAAAATAGAGGGAAAAGTGAAGGCTATGCAAAGGGAAATAAGGGAAAGAAACTGGGACTCAAATCAACGATGTGGAACAGAAGGAAGAAAGAAACATTCGACCAGGACTGAATGAAGAAACGACAATTCAAAAAAATGAAGAGAGGCTTAGAAACCTCCAGGACAACTTTAAACATTTCAACATCCACATCATAGGGGTGCCAGAAGGAGAAGAGGAAGAGCAAGAAATTGAAATTTTATTTGAAAAAATAATGAAGGAGAATTTCCCCAAGCTGGCAAAGGAAATAGACTTCCAGGAAATCCAGGAAGCTCAGAGAGTCCCAAAGAAGTTGGACCCAAGGAAGCACACACCAAGGCACATTATCATTACATTACCCAAGATGAACAATAAGAGAATCTTAAAAGCAGCAAGAGAAAAGAAGACAGTTACCTACAAAGGAGTTCCCATAAGTCCATGAGGTAGTTTCTCAAAAGAAACCTTGCAGGCAAGAACGGGCTGGAAAGAAGTATTCCAAGTCATGAAAGACAAGGACCTACATCCAAGATGACTCTATTCAGCAAAGCTTTCATTTAGAATGGAAGGGCAGATAAAGTGCTTCTCAGATAAGGTCAAATTCAAAGAGTTCATCATCACCAAGCCCTTATTATATGAAATGTTAAAGGGACTTATTTAAGAAAAAGAAGATCAAAACTATGAACAGGAAAAGGACAACAAACCCAGAACTTTCAAGAACTGAACCTAAAAAGGAAAAAACAAAAAGTAAGCAAACAACTAGAAGACAAACAGAATCACAGAAATGGAGATCACATGGAGCGTTATCAGCAGGGAAGGGGATGGGGGAAACTGGGAGAAAAGGTACAGGGAATAAGAAGCATAAATGGTAGGTATAAAAGAGACAGGGGGAGGGTAAGGACAATATGGGAAATGAGAAGCCCAAAACCTTGTATGTACGACCCATGGACATGAACTGAAGGGGGGAATGTGGGTGGCAGGGGAGGTGCAAGTTGGAGGGGAATAAAGTGGAGAAAAAATGGGACAACTGTAATAGCATCATTAACAAAATACACTTTAAAAATACATACAGAGCTTGGTGGATGGGACCACAACTGACTTCTTTTTTTCATTTATTAATTTGAGAGAGAGACATCAATTTGGTGTTCTACTCATTGATGCACTCATGGGTCGTTTCTTGTATGTGCCCCAACCAGGGATCGAACCTGCAATCTTGGCGCATCGTATGACGGTCTGACCTAATGTGCTAACTGTCCAGGGCCACTCTTTGCTTCCTTTGAGAGGTAATGTCACTTAGTGTTTGAGAGCCTGGACTCTGGCTTTCAGTTCCCGACTCTACTGCTCACTTGCTCCGTGATACTGGGCCAGTTCCCAATCCGCTCTGTGCCCGTGTCCTCAGCTGTAAAAGCGGGCTAATAACAGTATTCAACCTCCATGAGGTAAGTGAGAGGATAAATAAGTTGGTGTATGCAAATCCCCCTGCCCCAGCGTCCAAACACACTGGCAGGGCCCCGTGGTGGTAGCTGTTATATGATTGTGTCGGACTTAATCCTCACAAAGTCCTTGGCTGTACTTATTTTATGGGTGAGGGCACAGGCCCATGGAAGTCAAGGGCTCCTGGACAGAAGCGCTGACTTCACCTTGGGACCGTCGGGGCAAACTGAGTGGGGCTCGGAGACCCAGCCCTGCCCCGAGCTAGTCACTCCCGAGTTTTCTCCCTGCGGTCATTCCGGTGGCACTGGCTTCTTTCATACCTTTCTCATGAGGCTGTCACTTCCTTTTCCTGTTTTCCATTCACAGAGCATCTGCCTCCCAGCCGACCTATTCCGGGTCCTGAGTGATAGCAGCTTGTCTGTCTCTTCTCCAACGCCAGTCTCCCTGCTTCACCCCTATTTCTTAATGAGCTAGCCCCGACTCTGGGCCTGGTTCCACATCTCCACTCTGCACTTACTAGCTACGTGGCCTTAGGGAAGTTCCTCAGCCTCTTGGTGACTCAGTTTTCTCCCAGGTACAATAGAGATAAGAGTTTCTGCCTCGAAGTGTTAGTGCAAGGATCAAATGAATGCATGTGTGTGAAATTCTGGGAACAGATCCCGGCTCCTAGTCAGTACCATGTAGGTGGTGGGGGTATCGCTGCTGCCGCTGCTGCCTGCCCGGTGCGGTTTAATACCCGATGCCAGAAGGAGGGAAATGGAGAGCCCCACACTGTTAACCAGTCCCCCAGAGGCAGGTTGTCCGCCACTTGTGCCCCCACATCAGAGCACTTTCTGCATCCAGACCCTGCGGTCAGGGTGTGAGTAATGTCACAGCTCCTGCCTCAATGGTCCCAGCCGCAGGCCAGGCTGGGACCTCGGGATGGGAATGCCGGAGGTACAGGCAGAGGCGGGCCCACCCAAACGGGGGCGGGGCCCTGTCCAGGCCTTGGGACTCCATCCCTCCGGGTCCCTCGCCTGCTTCGGGAGGACTGAGTGGGATGGAACAGGGATAGCCGCAGGGCACATGCCGTGACACTGGTCCAGGGAGGCTGCACCAGCTGGAAGTGGCATTTGAATGTGACTCAATGGAATAGTGTGGGCTCTGGGCCAGTCACGCTGCACGGTCACGGGCTCCCAAGGCTGCTGGGACAGAGCCAGCCTGGGCGGAGAAAACACTTTCCAGGAGGGTCTTGGCTCAGCTGTGTCCTGGGTGCCGTGGGGTGGCAGGAAACCAGGCAAGGAACAAGTGAGCAGGGAGAAGGGAGGGGGAGAGGTGGCTGCGCTGATTAATCCCAGGATCCTTTGGCGAGTGCGTCTCAGCTGCCAGCAACCCCGGGGGAGACTCCAGTCCATCACAGGAGGCCAGTTGACCCTGCAAAGGTGACTCTGCTTTCAGGAGCTGGATACGGAGGCTGGCAAGTGACCTCCTGTGAGGGCTTGGGGGGTGGGAGCAGGGGTCACACTGGGGCAGTGGCCCTGGCAGGCTTCTGGGAAGGGAGGGTTCAGGTCACATTTTAAAGGATATGACTTTTAAGTTGTAAGGAAGCCAGCAAAAATGACTATCCACTGGAAGTGATCTCAAATGTTAGTTTTGGTTTTATATTTTTGAAAGCTGGGGTGGCCTCTGCGGTCCCTTTCAATATTGTTTATTTGTTCCCTGGTCTCCGCCGCACTGTGGCCAGCACTCTCAGCACGGGTGTGCTGAGGACACCTGAGAGGGGATCTACCTGTGACCCCGTCCTTGAGCTCTTGGCTCAGGAGGAGGGCAGCTGTGGGACTGATGTGGAAGGTGGAAGAGGGAAGGTGGTGGGAGACAGACGGGGTTCGGTCCAGCTCCACGGGGTCCTGATAAGGGCTGTGTTGGTAAAGGTGGCGGGGTCTGGGGCACACACAGGAGATGGGGGGAGCTCCAGCTCGTAACACATGCCATGGTGTAAGCATTCCCACCATGATCTATTTCCAGCTACCAATGTGCCATCAGTGAAAGTAGAATTGATTAATTCCATGGCTGTCGGCCGAATGCCTCCCAGACGTGGCACAGCTGGCTCCAAGTCGTGACTGACTTTGAAGCTTCTCTGCCACTCGTTGCTGAGGCTAGAAGTCCTACTATCATAGGCTCATCTTTCACATCCAAGTTTAGTCCCTGTTGAAAGGGGAGCTGGGAGGAAAGGGTTATCACATCTACCTTGTGTTGCTTGAGCCATTTAATCCTGGGTCCATCATTCAGCTGGTACAAAGCTGTGGACATCGGGGCTTCACTTCTCCAAATGTCAAGTTTCCTCATCCGGAAAATGGGGATCATAGTAATGCCACTTCCCAGAACTGTGGTTAAGATTAGATACAAAATTGCACATGAACATGTAGTTCATAGAAGGAACCCAACCAACACGGCTGCCTCCCTGTCTAGACGGGTGGGGCCTTACCCTCTCTCTCTTCGCCTCAGCGGAGACCTCTCTGAGAGGCCTTAAGACCCTCAGGAGGACACAGGACTCTCTGGCCAGAGATTCTTGCTAAGTCAAAGCTAGAGCCAGCCCAGGCCAGCAGCCTCAGACATATTCACCAAGAGGATGATGTTGTTGCCCTAGAGACAAGCTATGGTTTGCCTCTGTGCCCTTGGCTTCCTTGTAGGCGAAGCTCAGCTGACCTTGCCCTTGCTATCCCTTGGGGCCTTTTGAAAGGATCCCACTGTAGCCTGCACAGAGTTCTTTGGATTCCCCAAAAGTTCTACCAAGCTTCACCTGGGGTTGCCTTACTACCTGCTAATTCATACTAGGATGTAAATAACTGATACCTCCATTTGTTTCACTTAAGGTGTTGCTGGGTAAACTAAATGAGTTCAGGCAATTGGAAAAGTGAAAACAGAGCAAAGGAAAAACCAGAATGGGGCTAGAAGAGCGGTTCAGGGTCGGGTGAGGGGGGTAACAGAGACCTAAGGACAGGCAGAACCATGGGTTCATGGCTCAGTCCAGCCACTGACTACTCACTGAATGCTTTGCATAAGTTGTTCCCCTTCTCTGAGGCTCAGTTTCCCCGCCTGTCAGTTGAAGGAGGTGGACATGATGTGCTCTCACTCCCTCGTTCTGAGATGCTTAGAGCACAAAAGGTCACAGCAAGGATATATTACCTATTGCCACTGTATCAAATACCACACAATCGGTGCCTTAAAACAACCCAAATTTATCGTCTTAATGTTCTAGAGGTCAGAAGTCTAAAATGGGTCAGCAGGGCTGCATTCCCCTTGAGGATCAGGGGGAAATCTGTGCCTTGCCTCTCCCAGCTTCTAGAGAAGCGTTGTCTTCGACGGCGTTACTCTGACTTCTGTTCCCATCTTTGATTCAGGTGTTTCCGCCCCCTTCCCACGAGGACATCTGTGATTACGTCAGATCATCTAGGACACCCTCTCCATCTCAAGGCCATTGACAATCACATCTGTGAAGTCGCTGTTGACACACAGGTAACATGTTCTCAGGTTGCAGGGATTAGGATGTGGACGTCTCTGGGAGGCCGTTACCTGTGGACCACAGGGATGCGGAGTTTTGCTTTGCTCATTAAAGCCTTTAAGGCATTAATGGTGGACTCTAAGGAGGCTAGACCAGCCGAGGAGGGCAATGTCCTGGCCAGCTGAGACCTCCTGAACCCAAACCACACCTCTCTCAGGTGGCCCCTTTCTGTAAGCTGGATGGGTCGGAGCAAAGGCCAAGGATGAGACAGAGTAGGGACAGGACACTGTTCCTGGAGTCTGTAGACTCAGGATTCACCTGGAGCTCAGCCAGTGACTTCCTATGAGATTGTGAAAAAGTCACTTTGCTCCTGGGTTAAATGGTGCTGACAGGTCCTCCCTGGTTTGCCTTGCAGGACTGCCATAGTGGGTCTGAAGGTGCCTGGCCAGATCCCAGGTCTGCATGGGGGTGTGGCTGCTGTTGTTGATGAGAGTGATGGGAGGGGCTGGTGGCCTCAGTCCCAGAGTGAAAAACCAGGAGGCCCTGAGAGGAGAGGGAACAGCGTGTTCTAGGTGGTGTGGTCTAACCTAGGGCCTGCTGTCCTGACATCCAGCTTTGATCAAAGCAATCAGGTTTGGTTGTTTGTTAAAGAAAAAGTCAAAGACTTTGAGAACCCATGTCAGGTTCAAGTTCAGTGCTGACAGACCAGGACTGCTGGTGTTTAATCAGGGACAACTCCTGACTGAGAAATCCTAATCAGGCCCAAGCACAGAAGAGTGTTTCCTCCTTCAAACCTCAGAAGCTCACAGACTCCCAGTCATGTGTTGGGGGAATCTTTCCTGCTGCTCAGAAAAGGGAGAGGCTCAGGGACAGGAGACCCCAGGTGCACAGGCAGAATGGAAGACCAGGAAAGGAAGGTATAGGGCCAAGTTCCTGAGGCCAGTCAAGAGCACAGCCCGGCCCTGGAGAAAGCCACCCACTCTGAGCTCCTGGGGTGGTGACAGGGTGTGTGTGTGGCTTTCACAAATATCTGGCCCGGATGCCATGCCAGGAGCCCGAGGGTGGGACAAGGAGTGGGAGGGCGTCAGGGTTCCCCTGGGACAGGCCCCGCCTCCGCGGCATCCCCATCAGCTCTGAGATCACAGTGTCAAGGAAACTAGAAGCATCAACACTTATTTCAAAATTCCACCTGGAAAAAAATAGACAAAACTTCTATCAGGAAGGGCTGGGAAAAATGTGAACAACATCTGTGTAAAAAGCTAAAATTGTTACTATATAAAACCATTTGTAAAATGCGAATCCCACTCATTAAAACAACAAATTATTCACAAAAGGAATATAAACTGGCATTGAATGTATTAAATAATCCCGTCTTGAGGACTTCCGGCCAAGATGGAGGTCTAGGTAGCTACCCTTTGTCTCCTCACACAGACAAAAGAAAAACAATGACATATTTAAAAACAAAAAATAAAAATAACCAGACTGCCAGAAAATTGAACTGTGTGAAAGTCCGACAACCAAGGAGTTACAGAAGAAACATGAGACCGGTCGGTAGGAGGGGCAGAGACAGGCAGCCAGGGCAGAGAGGATGAGTGGCAAGGCGACTGGAGGGCCAGGTGGCTGAGGTGGTGGCTGGCAGACCGGGGGTCCTACATTTGCACGTGGATAAACTGGGAGGAACAACCGGGGAGTGAGAGGGACCGTGCAACCCAGGGTTCCAGTGCGGGGGAAATAGAGCCTCGGAATCTCTGACTGTGAAAATCTGTGGGGGTTGTCCCAGAGCGAGAAACTCCTAGCCTCTCAGGAGAGTATGTTGGAGAGACCCTAGAATGTACACAAACCCACCCACCAGGGAATCAGCACCAGAAGGTCCCAGTTTGCTAATAGGTAGCGGGATAAATGACTGAAAGCCAGCCTAGAGTGAAGCAGGCGGCACTGTTCCCTCTCCAAGCACTTCCCCAATACAGGGCCCCAAGGCAGTGACGTGGGCTGCCCCGCCCTGGCGAATATCTAAGGGTCCACCCCTTACAACATAACAGGTGAGCCGAGACAAAAAAATATGGCCCAAATGAAAGAACAGATCAAAGCTCCAAAAATAGAACTAAGCAATGAAGAGGTAGCCAACCGATCAGATGCAGAATTCTAAACACTGGTAATCAGGATGCCTACAGAAATGGTTGAGTAGGATTGCAAAATAGAGGAAAAAGTGAAGTGCAAAGTGAAATAAAGGAAAATATACAGGGGACCAATAGTGAAGGGAAGGAAAGTGGGACTGAAATCAATGGTTTGGAGCAGAAAGAAGAAATAAACCACAGCACTCTTATTAGGGACCGAACCAGAATGTGTCCCTCAACATGAGCCGTGCGGGAACTCTCGAGCATCTTCTTTGCCTTATCCTGTTGCTCACTGCTATTATTATAACTGTTCTTGTCCTTTTAGAAGCCCTCTGCATTCCCCAAATGCCCCAAATGATCCACACCTTTCACTTTCCCAGGAGCAGCAAGGATTCTCCCTCAGTTCGCGTCCAGACCTTCTATGACCTCTGCACAGAGGTAGCTGAGGTAGCACCACAGCACTCCACCGATCAGGACGTACTCCAAGTACAATGTACTCCAAGTACAATGTACTCCAAGTACTATGGGATGCATTCCTCCAGGGGATGTCCAGCACTCTTCCTGGGAACTAGTTTCCACGTGGCTAGAATTAGATCGACCTAGCTGGCATTTTCTTACTCTTACTCCCTCCTCTCTCTTATTCACCCTTACCAGACCCCTCTTTCAACATAGCAGTTCATATAGCCCACTTCTTAAAGTTAAATTACTGCTGCTGGCCTTGCCTCTCCGCCCGTAGCTGGGGGTATGTCCAACCCCTACCGCCAGGTCAGTAGGGTAATGTCTCTTGCAGTCTGGTGTCTTACCAGACACCTTTCTGCCCACTGGTACTGGCACTCTCCCAAGGGTCCCCTATTCTTGCACGTCATCAGTCACTTGCATGCCACCTTTCCCTTCTGCATCATCAGTCAAAGGAGTGAGGGAATCCCAGTTGGCTCACTTAACCCAAACCAGTGCCAATGGAGCTTCATAATCCCACAACCCTCTCTCAGAAACATCTCCAGACTCCCCCTGACCTGGTTACCAAACCCTGGGGTCGTTGGAATCCAGAATCCTGGAGACAAAACTGCTTTCTTACATATTCACTTCCCATGACTCTCACTGGCACAATTCCAACATAGACATTCACCTACTGCAAAGGCAGGCCAGCCAGAAAAGTTAGCTTCTCAACCTTCTTTCTCAAGAGGGCCAGGACTGTCTTCTCCCCCAGTACCGAGATCGCACTGTGGGAGTTCATTATGGGAAAGGCAGGGCTCTGTCTTCTCTGAATTTGCAGACCAACCCTTCCAAAATCCCACCATTGACCCCAGGCACAGCATCCCTAGCTGCACAGGACTTGAATACTGGGGCAACTATTACTCCAGGACTAGAACACTGGTTAGCAGTAGATATGTTTCCATGGAAACCCAGCCCATTCTGCGGACAGGATACAGAGTTTCTGCAGAAATCCACCCCTGCAGAGTATCCTGGAGAAACACTCTTCAGGGCTATATTGGATTTGTGGATCACGGGTCTAGTGGACCCTGCCCCCCAAGATGGTCAGGGATCTGCTCCCTGGGGTACCTTCTTCCTGACGTGTCAATCGCATGGGAAAATGCCTCACTCCCCTCGCGGGTCAGGGACTCTTATTCAGAAGGGTCGGCCCATTGATCCCCACGATAGCGGTGCTAGGAGTCCTCTCCAAGGCCGGGGCTGTGGCGGGTGGCGCCTCCCTAGGTGTTCATCACCAAGTTATCTCTAGAAACAGCAGAGGCACCGACCAAGACAGGGAAAACCCTAGCTGCACTCCAGGATCACCCAGACTCCCCAACAGGGGTAGCCCTTCCGAGCCAAGGGCCCTAGACCTGCTCGCAGCATCAGAAGGAGGGACATGGCTACACCCCAGAGACGAGTGCTGTTTCTACGTTAACAAATCAGGTCAGGTCCAACAAAGCATTCAGGGTACACTGGCGTCTGCTTCTAAAATCAAGGATCTGAGTCCCTCCATAAGTCCTCACTCCTGGCTTCCATGGGCTCCCTTCTCAACACTCCTGTCCTGATGCTCAGACTGACTGTGCATCTTTAACCTGCTTGTAGAGTTTATATCCTCCGGGCTGGAGCAGTTCAAAAACCAATCAGGGCGGTACTCGTCCCGAACGTTGTTATCAACCAGGGCAAGAGCAAGAACAGCTCATGGAGGTGCTCAGGGCCAGCTCTACGCCCCCTCCCAGTGGGAAGCAGTTCCAGAAGACAGACCTTCACCTATTTATCCCTGGCTTTGAAAACATAAGAAAGAGCAGCTTGGGTTGAAAGGGTCAGGCCGGTTCCCCAGCCCGCCAGAGTGCTCCTGACTCAGTCAGGCCAGTCTCCACCCTCGGGCCGGCCATGACTCAGTTGTCCTGACTCGCTTGGTAGCCTGCGGCTTAATCCAAACTGTCTCCTACCATGCACAATAGACACCTGGCATCAGCCACAACAGCCGGTGGCCAACTGACCCTCCAGTACCTGGGAACAGCCTGCCCTTTGCCTAAACCGCTGTCCTGACTCATCCTGGACCCTGAGGCACCCGCCCGTAAGAACAAGAGGCTAACCCCTCCCTTATCCCTGCCCCCCAAACCTCATGCTTTTTGTTTTAAAAACCCCACTCCTGCCTTCTTCCGGTGCTGAAGTCGACCCTGACTCGGCCCACCTCTCAGCACAGCATCATATAAAGGTACTTGGGTCAGATCAGCCGGTTCCTCCCACCTCTATTTCTCGCCCCTCGTCCATGTCTAACGCCTCTTCTCCTGCCCAGGCAGCTGTCGTCTTGAATCCTGTGCCCGTCATTCCCTGGCTTTTCCCTCTCATCTCTTTCGACTCCTATGTGTATAATACATTTCTCTTAATTTTATTAAAAGAATATCAGGTCTATATTTTTACAGGACTTCGAAAGACTGGACATTTTCCAAAGGCCGCCGGGTGGCGTTGAGGGCGGTGAGGAAGGAATCTGGGTTGCCACTCACATTTTGGTCTCAGGTGCCTGAGGCGCTGGCGATGCCATTCAGTTAAAGACCCAGGCGAGGAGGGGAGGCTGGTGGGAAGGTGGTCCACCCGGGTCTGAGTAAAGCAGTAATTTAAACTACCAGGTACTGAGCACCTACTATGTTCTGGGCATTCTTCATAGCACTGGAAGTGCTTCACATGAAACTTGAGTCCCACAAGAACCCACGAGTAGGCGCTGGTATTGTTATCACTTTGAAGATGGGGAAACCGAGGGATGGAAAAGTTTAGCTGTTCTGAATCTATCCACATAATAGATCACAACTTTCTGCTACAAACCTAAACATTCTGGTTAAAATAAAATGTAAAACGTAAAAGGAAATGTTGATCTAAAACAACATTTATAACTGGAAGTCTTTAAATAAAAGCAAGGGAAATTCTCAGAGGAAGGAAGGAAGGTTCAAAGCCAGAGTGGGCACACCAGACATTTATAGGTAAAACAAGCCCCAGTGAAGAGAAGCTCTCATTTAAAAAACAAACATAAGCTACACAAGAAATAATTAAAAGCCACCCATGAGGAAGAGAGTGGAGACACAATAAATAGATGAATTGGTAGCCCTAAATAATAGGGAAAAATAGGAAAGACAGTACCGGTCTTTCTAAACAATGAAGGAGGAAAGTTAACCGGAACGAAAGAAGTGGATACTAAGAGAACACCTGAGGCCAAGTCGCTTACCTGAGGTGGCATAGTCAGCGATAGGCTCAGCTCCCGCACCTGTGCTCATATTTGCTGGGCTGCAGGTGTGGAGGTGAGGAGCCCATTGGACGTCCCAGAGCGGTAGAAATGGGGTTAAGAGAGGTGGGATTGCCCGGCTTCACCGTCTGTCTCTCACACTACTCTCTGGTTGGCAGAGCTCCAGGACTGGGCGTATCCTCCCGGCATGGCCACCACTGCCCCCTCTCAGCCGCTGCTCACCACCAAGGTCGCCAGTTCTGAGAACAGCACCTCCTTCTATGACTACGAGGACTACCTGGACCTGGAGGCCTTCCTGCTCTGCAGAAAGGACGAGGTGCTGTACTTCAGCAAAGTCTTCCTGCCGGTCTTCTACAGCCTGGTCTTTGTGCTGGGCCTGGGCGGGAATCTCCTTCTGCTTGTGGTCCTGCTCCGGTACGTGCCTCGCAGGCGGATGACAGAGGTCTATCTGTTGAACCTGGCTATCTCCAACCTCCTGTTCGTGGTGACCCTGCCCTTCTGGGTCATCTCCGTGGCCTGGCATTGGATCTTTGGGAGTTTTTTGTGCAAGGCGGTGAGCACACTCTATACCATCAACCTCTACAGTGGCATCTTCTTCATTAGCTGCATGAGCCTGGACAAGTATCTAGAGATCGTCCACGCTCGGGCCCACCACAGGCTGAGGGCCTGGGTCAAGCGCTGGGTCCTTGTTGTCGTGGTCTGGGCTGTGGCCCTGGCTGTCTCCATCCCCGACATGATCTTCGTGCAGACGCATGAAAACCCCAAGGGCGTGTGGAACTGCTATCCGGATTTCGGGGGGCACGGGACCTTCTGGAAGCTCCTTCTGCGCTTCCAGCAGAACATTCTGGGGTTTCTCCTTCCACTCTTTACCATGATCTTCTTCTATTCCCGCATCGTCTCGGTCCTGGTGAGGCTAAAGCCCCCAGGCCGGGGCCGGGCTCTGAAGATAGCCATCGCCCTGGTGGTGGCCTTCTTCCTGTTCTGGTTCCCGTACAACCTGGTCTTGTTTCTGCACTCGCTGATGGACCTGAAAGTCCTATGGGACTGCAAGGTCAGCCGGTACCTGGATTATGCACTGCAGGTGACAGAGACCATTGCCTTCTTTCACTGCTGCTTCACGCCTGTCCTCTACGCCTTCTCCGCCCGCTGCTTTCTTCCGTACCTGAAGGCTTCCCTGGCCACGGTGTGCGGGTGGCACCATGCACCTTGCCCTCCCCAGGCCCCACTGTCCAGCTGTAGTGAGAGTAGTAACCTCACTGGCCAAGAAGAAATGACCAGCGTGAATGACCTTGGGGAGAGGCAGGCTGAGGACTCCCCCAACAAGGAGGGTGTGAGGGAAAAGGAAGCCCAAGTGGCCATGCTATAGTCTGATGAGAGTGGATGGGACCCAGCTCAGTTGGGCATCCACCCAAATTCTTCTCTCCAAGGGTCTCACTGACGATGTTGCTAAGCCCAGCGGTCAGTTTTCAGCTCTCAGCCATCACCAGCATCCGCTCACTCCTTCCAGGACATCATACTCCCTGAACTGCTGCAACAGTTGCCCAGCTGACCTCTGTTTCCTATCGTCATGCCCTCCTATCACTGATTGCAGTGGTCCCCAACCTCTTTGGAACCAGGGACCAGTTTCTGTAACTACCTCTTTGTAATTCTTAATCCCCTCACCTCTTCATTCATTCCCCCACGCCCGCCTCCCATCGAGGAACCATCAAAATGCTCTCTGGGCCCTGGCTGGTGCGGCTCAGTGGATTGAGTGCTGGACTGTGAACCAAATGGTGGCTGGTTTGATCCCAGTCAGGGCACATGGCTGGGTTGCGGGCCAGGTCCCCAGTAGGGGGCGCATGAGAAGCAACCACACATTGGTGTTTCTCTCCCTCTCTTTCTCCTTCCCTTTCCCTCTCTCTAAAAATAAATAAATTAAATCTTAAAAAAAAATTCTCTGGGTCTGTGATTCTATTTCCGTTCTTCCTGTTTGCTTTGTTTGATTTTGAGATTCAATTGTTGATACATAAGTACTTTTGGCCATTTTATTGTTCATAGTTTTTATCTTCCTTTATTTTATTTTTTTGGTATTTATTTATTTATTTTAAATTTAATTTTTAATTGATTATGCCATTACAGTTGTTCTATTCCCCCCCTTCATTCCCCTCCACCCTACCCCCCATCCCTACCATTACCCCCCCCTTTAGTTTATGACCATGTGTCTCAAGTTCTTTAGATTCTATATTTCCCATACTATTCTTGCCCCCCCATCTATTTTCTATCTACTGTCTATGCTACTTATTTTCTGTACCTTCTCCCCCCTTCTCCTCCTCCCACTCCCCTGTTGCTAACTCTCCTTGAGATCTTCATTTCTATGTTTCCACTGCTGATCTAGCTGTCCTTTTAGTTTGCTTTTGTTTTAGGTGTGGTTGTTAATAATTGTGAGTTTGCTGTCCTTTCACTGTTCATGTTTTTTTTTTATTTCTTTTTCTTAGGTAAGTCCCTTTAACATTTCATATAATAAGGGCTTGGTGATGATGAACTCCTTGAATTTGATCTTATCTGAGAAGCACTTTCTCTGTCCTTCCATTCTAAATGAAAGTTTTGCTGGATAGAGCAATCTTGGATGTAGGTCTTTGGATTTCATGACTTGGAATACCTCTTTCCTGCCCCTTCTTGCTTGTAAGGTCTCTTTTGAGAAATCCATTGACAGTCTGATGGGAACTCCTTTGTAGGTGACTGTCCCCTTATCTCTTGCTGCTTCTAAGATTCTCTCCTTCATTTTAATCTTGGCTAATGTAATGATGATGTGCCTTGGTGTGTTCCTTCTTGGGTCCAACTTCTTTGGGACTCTCTGAGCTTCCTGGATTTCCTGGAAGTCTATTTCCTTTGCCAGATTGGGGAAATTCTCCTTTATTATATGTTCAAATAAGTTTTCCACTGGTGGCTGTTCCTTTCCCCCTTCTGGTACCCCTATAATCTGGATGTTGGAGCATTTAAAGATGTCCTGGAGGTTCCTAAGCCTCTCCTCATTGTTTTGAATTCTTGCTTCTTCACTCTTTTCTGTTTGGCCACTATTTGCTTTCTTCTGGTCCACTCCATTGATTTGAGTCCCAGTTTCCTTTTCATCGCTATTGGTTTTCTGTGCAATTCCATTCATTTCAATTAGTTTCGCCTTCATATGTTTCTCTAATTTGTGGCTATAATCAACCAGTTCTGTGAGGATTCTGATGACCAGTATTTTAAACTGTGCGTCTGAGAGTTTTGCTATTTCTTCATGGCTTAGATTTATAGGCTCTGGGGCTTTGAGATCTTCTTGAGCCATTTTTGGTCTGTTCTCACCTATTAAGTATGAGGAGCGGAGCCTTGGACTCCCAGGTCGCTGGGTTGTGATGCTGTATGTGGGGGCGTGGTCAGAGTAGGGAAATGGCGGCCCCCTCTGCTGTTTCTCGCCGCTGAGTGAGGAGCAGGGCCTTAGGTGGTTCAGCAGGGCCGGGCCACTCAGGTCGCTGGGTTATGACGCTGTATGTGGAGGTGGGGTCAGAGCGGGGAAATGGCGGGGCCCTCTGCTGCCGCTTGCCGCGGGGACCCGCTGGGTCCTGTTTAATCGCCCACTCCCTCGCTTGTCTATCCACGCACGAATGCACGACCACATTCAACCAGAAGCCCTGCTCTCTTGCTGTTTCCCCCGAGGTTGCTCACTGAGTTGCCCACCAGGTCCAACCCTGCGCCTGGATTCCACGCGCCTGAGTCCGTCTGACCAAGTTTTCCTGTGCTACCCCGCTCTGCCAGCTGCTGGTTTCGCCCCTCTTACCGGTCAGGCTGAAGAATTTGTTGTTAACAGACTTCCGAAAAGTTCAATTTTCTGTGTTCTGGCTGTGTTTTCTGTTGCTAATATTTAGTTGTCTCTAAACTTGGTTGTGTGAGAAAGCACGTCATTTCCACCTATGCCTTCATCTTGGTGGAAGTCTATCTTCCTTTTTTAAAATAAATCCCTTTAACATTTCATACAATAATGGGATGATGATGATTAACTCCTTTCGTTTTTTTCTTGCCTACGAAGCTCTTTCTCTGCCCTTGATTCTAAATGATAGCTTTGCTGGGTAGAGTAATCTTGGCTATAATGCCCTGCTTTTTCATTACTTTGAATATTTCTTGCCAATCTGGTCTAGCCTGCAATTTCTTTTGAGAAATCAGCTGACAGTCTTATGGGAACTCCATGTGGGTAACTAACTACTTTTCTTATTGCTGTATGTAAGATTCTCTCTTTATCTTTAATCTTGGGCATTTTCATTATGATGTGTCTTGGAGTGGGCCTTTCTGCACCCATCTTTTTTTGGATTCTCTGTGCTTCCGGACTTGTATGTCAAGTTCCTTCGCCACATTGGGGAATTTTTCTTTCAAATACATTTCCTTTTTTTGTGCTCTTTCTCTTCCCCTCCTGGCACCCCTAGAATGTGAGTGTGGGACCTCTTAATGTTGTCCCAGAGGCTGCTTACCCTACCCTCATTTTTTTGGATTCTTGTTTCTTCTTGTTCTTCTGATTGGTTGTGTTTTGCTTTCTTATGTTCTGAATCATTGATTTGATTCTCAGCTTCATCCACTCTACTGTTGTTTCCTTACAAACTGTTCTTTATTTCAATTAGTGTACCCTTAATTTCTGACTGGATCTTTTTTTTATACTGTTGAGGTCCTCACTAAGTTCCTTGGGCATCCTTATAACCAGTGTTTTGAACTCTGCATCTGACAGATCGCTTATCTCTATTCTATTTAACTCTTTTTCCTGCCGGGAGGTTTGTGTGTGTGTGTGTGTGTGTGTGTGTGTGTGTGTGTGTGTGTGTGTCCTGTTCTATTTTTTTTTTACATTTTTTAATTTAATTATTTTTCAAGTACAGTTTTCTGTCTATTACCCCCAGCCCAGCCCACCCCACTCTGTGCTCCCCACCTCCCTCCCATTTCCATCCCCCTTAGTTGTTGTCCATGTGTCCTTTATACTAGTTCCTCTAAATCCCTCCTCCTTTTCCCCTGAAATTCCCTCCCTTCTCCCCTCTGGTCTCTGTCCCCCTGTTCTCTATTTCAGTGTCTTTGTTTTTATTTTGCTTGCTTGTTTGTCTTGTTGTTTAGCTTCCCGTTAAAGGTGAGATCATAGTTTTGATCTAGTCTTTCATTTGGACCATGTTTCTTTGTCTCTTCATTTGGCAGCCTCCCTATGTTTGTTTCTGTGTATTAGGTACAGCTGCTTTGACTCCGTGTCTTGGTAGTGTGGCCTCATGTAGTAGGTGTCCCGTAGGGTCCAGTGGCACAGCCTCCCCTGTCACCCAAGATGGGTACTTGAGGTATGTGTTTTGTGTGGGCTGAGTAACCCCTCTTCTTGTAGTTGAGTCTTGGTTGCTGTTGGCAGATCAATGGGAGGGATTTACCCAGTCCAGTCAGCTGCAAGGACTGGCTGTGACCACTGACCATCATCCTCTACCCTCTGTGGAAGATCAGCTGTGCAGGGGCAGGGTGGTGGCACTGTGATGTCTGTAGCTGCCCACTGGTTGTGCAGTCTCTAGGGTTTCCCCAGTGGTGGAGGCCAAGGTCTCCCCGCACCTGTGTTGCCTGGCGCCACCCAGTCTGAGCTGTAAAGCAATCTGAGATGGCTGCTACTGGTGCTGGGCCTGGGGCTCACAGAGGCCTGTTGTTGCTTGTTTAAAAGGATTGAGGAAGTTGTGAATCGTGAGCCAAGGCCAGCCCTTCGTGTGGAAAAGATGCTTGGGTGGGGCCGTAATTTCATTGGGGTGGAGTCTCAGGGGATCTCCAGGGTGAAGCAAACAGTGTTAGCCAGGTGGATGGAGTCTCAGATATGGCACCAGCTTGCTAGATCAGTTGTGGGGAAGGCTTAGCAAAGGGACAACGGCCTCTGCTCACCTTGACGCCAGACATTTCAGTTTCTCCCTGTGTACCACTGGGGCCTTTCAAGCTGCCACCCTAGTGCTGGAGCCCAGAGAGAGTGAGCCTGAGTAGGTGAGTCCATGTGTGGGTTCTCTAAGAGGAACTGCTTGGGGCTCCAGAAGTTTCTGCCACTGACTCAGTCCCCCCTGGTTTTTGTAGCCAGAGGTTGTGTGGTTGTCAGACTTCCATTCAGCTCAATTTCTGATGGTTCTGAGTGCAGGTTGTTCTATAGTTTAGTTGTAATTTTGATGTGGTTGTGGGAGGAGGCGAACCATCTCTGTCTTTGTTGTCATCATGAGTGGAAGTGTTTGTATGGCCATTTCAATATTTAAGATGAATGAAAATACACAACTTTTTGGGCACAGTATGCTTTATTATTTCAAGAAAGGTAAAAAGACAACTGAAATGCAAATAAAATACTTGTGCAGTGTATGGAGAAGGCACTGTGACTGATCAAACGTGTCAAAAGTGGTTTGCAAAGCTTCTTGGCACTACTGACATTTTGGCCAAATAACTCTTTGCTGGGGGGCCGTCTCATGCATTGGGAGATGTTCAGCAGCACCCCTGGCCTCTCCCCACTAGAAGCCAATAGCAGGAGAGAGCGGACACACTCAAAATATCCATCAGTGAAGTTACTGGTGAAAATGAAAAACGTGTCTTATTTTATGGGGACTTTTTGGCCAACCCAGTACTCGGCACCCAACAGCCACAGTGGTCACAGCCTTCACTCCCATCTTCAGAGAAACCCCAGGCCCGCCCCCCACTAGGCTGCTCCTGCCCCTCTAGTTCAGCCAGGGAAATAGTGTTGTTATTTTGTTTAATATCGCAGCCTTGGCTGTGGCCCCAGGGTCGGGAGGCGCCGGCAACATGCCACCTGTGGGCGGCCCACGGTGAGGGGCAGCAGGGCTCTGTCTGGGAGCAGGGCTGCCCACCCTCCACCCTGTGAAGGGCGGTGAGAGCGTGCAGGGCAAGTTCTGCCTAGGAAATCACCTCTTTTCTTCCCCAAGTTCTGGAATTCCACCCTCAGCATGTCATGCCTGACTTGCTTAGCTATAAGCTATCCTCAGAGAATACACACGGTGGGCTTTTCTCTGAGGGAGAGAAAGATTGGTTCAGAAATGAGGAACTGGGGACAGAACTGGCGGGTCAAGACAGGAGGTGACGGGGTGCATCCCTGCGGGTCTCAGTCTTCCTGCTGCCGGCGAAGGAAGAGTGGCCCTTGCAGAGGGTGTCTCCAGCTGTCCCCATGCAGGGGCCCTGGAACCACGGGTGCCAGTGGGGGAACTGGCCTCCATGTGCCCACTCCAATTCTGGGTGCTCCCTGCTTCCTGGGAGGCCCGTTGTCATGGGGAACATCCTTGGCGGTGGGATGGGACACCTGTGTTCACCCCACACATGACCCGCCAAGGCTTCCCTGGGTCCCAGGCTCACCCTCCAACTGTGAGGGCTCCACGAAGTTGCTGTCGGTTGAGACCTTCTGGCCCTTACTCAGTGGACTTCGGCTGCCAGGCCTTCCCCGCCAGCCTGTGCACAGGCCGGGCTCCCGGTCCGCATTCTTTTGGGCGTGGGGGAAAGGACAGGATGCGGCACCGAGGTCTGCGCAGGGTCGAGGAGGTATGGGAAGGCCTTGCCACTTCGCTCCACCCCACGGCTGCTCGGGCCCAGGGCCTGGCTCTGTGAGCAGGTGGCTGGGAAGCCCCGTGTGAACAACCCCCAGCTTTGCAGGCCCCTTGTCCCTCTCCTGTGCCCCATGTGGAACAGGATGGGGCATCCTGTCTTCTCTTAACCAGTCAAACCTCTATCAGGCTCCATGCAGATGCCTGGGCAGATGTCCTCAGCTCAGGCCTGTTTTCCTGGCAAAACTCAGTGTGGAACAAGCAACCTCAACAGAAGGGAGGAGGCGGTCAGAGATGTGGGAGGGGGTAGCAGGGAGAAGCCCCACTGGGTGATGCTGGCAGGGGGTCCGTGCTGCAGGGACCCCTGCACCTGCTGCCACAGTCCCAGCCCTGGCCAGGGTCCTGCCATCAGCCCTCCCAGCCCTGGTAAGCACTTCTGGTGACAGGGATTGTCTCTAGTTCATGTGCCGGAAAGCTGAGGGCAGGCAGGGAGGGGAAGGAAATGAGTTGAGGGCATAAAGTAAACTAGCCGAGACTGGAAGTCTGGTTTATATCATTTAATCTGCATCTGGGGAATTGGGGGGGTCGGAGATGAAAGGATAAGATTCCAGGTCCTATGGACTCCAGCACGGGGAAGGAGCAGGAGGAGGAAACCAGGACGGAGAGCAAGGACTCCTAGCAGATGCGCTAGGACCACAGGAGGTGCCGGGGAGCCACAGGAACAGGAGGCCGGGGGATGGGATGGGTCACATCTAAGAAGGCTTCAGGGGTAGCCGGCACTGGGGTTGGCAGGAAAAGCAAGCAACACACTTTACAGACATTTCCACCAGGAAAGGCTGGGAAAAAGTTGGATTGCACTGCGTGGAAAATTGGGGGACCAACTGTAGCAAACCTTAAATGTCAGGTGTGTGAAGGGAATGGGAAGCTGGAAAATGAAACGGTGCCAGTTAGAGGTGCTTTTGGAAAACAGCGCCTGACAGCAGGGTGAACCGCGGGCCTGCAGGTGGGTGCAGAGGGAATGACATCTGCATGGAAGGCAGCCTTTCTGCAGACCCGCTGTTCCCGGGGCAGCCACCGGCCGCAGGCGGCTCCTGCACGCTTTGCATGTGGCTGGCCGGAACCGCGGCGTGCCTCAAGGGCAAAAAGGACACGCCAGAGTTTTGAACACACAGTACAATACGCAGATGATGTATTATATATAGAATCGTACACCCCAAACCTATATAATTGTATTAACCAATGTCATGCCAATAAGTTCAAATTTTTAAAAAAGTGCATTCCAGATTTTGAAGGCAATTCTACAAAAGAAATGTAAAGCTATTTTTTTTCATATTGATGATGTGTTGAAACGCTAATATTGTGGCTATGTGGGAATAAGTAAAAAATATCATAAAAATGAATTTTACTTGTTTCTTTCACTTAAAAAAATGTATCAACTAGGAAATGGATTAAAAAATACCCATGCAGCTTGCCTTATATTGCTATTGAGCAAGACTATTTTTAGAACATGACTTCCAGAAGACATGGAATGGAGTTGAGAAAAATTAAGTGGGGGGCAGCTGGGAGCTGCTGTGCCACTCGTGGGGACCAGCTTCTGTGCCTCGAGGCGGGCGTTATCCCCCAAGGGGATTCTGCCAAACCCACTGCGAGAGATGGAGTTTTAAAGAGACAATGATGAGCCTGTGAGGTGTCTGGAAGGAGGCCAGGGAGCAAGGAGGACAGAGGTGCCAGGACAGAGGTAGAGGGTGCCACAAAGCCACAGGGAGCAGTAGCTGGTCGGGGGTCTGGGGCTTCAGAGGGGCAATAAGAGGTGGAGACCCCCAGGGCATCCCCTGGCCAGGCTTGCGGCCCTCTCGGCTGCGCTCAGGCGGGAGACCGCAGGCGGTACCGGAAGCGCACGTCGTGGCTGGGCTGCGTGGTGCCAAAGCCCCAGCGCTGGGGGTCCACGGGCGGCATGGGCATGCCAGGGTCCACCAGCTCCAGGTCGAAGTGCGTGATCATGAGCAGGACGAAGAGCTTCATCTCGCTCAGGGCCAAGAACCTCCCGGGGCACATGGAGACGCCCGAGCCCCAGGGCATGGTATAGTGGTGGATCTTTTTGCCTGCCTTGTAGAAGTCCACCTTTCGGCTGCCGTCGGGGTTGAGGAAGCGGTCGTACTTGAAGGCCGTGGGCTGGGGGTGGATGTCAGGGTCCATGTGCACTGAGAGGTAAGGGAAGAGGGCCACGATGTCCCCACCGCGGAGTTGGTACTCCTCCCCGCTGGCCATCTGCAGGGTGTGGTCGCCGTTCACCACCCTGAGGAGGGTGGGCGCTGCCCGCAGGCGCAGTGTCTCCTCCATCATGCTGTCCAGCACCGGGGTGTGCTGCAGGGCACTGACCTCGAACTTGAAAGACTGCCCGGCCTCCAGCCTGGCCTCCCCCAGGACCTGGGCAGCCTCCTTTCTCAATGCCTGCATGGCTTCTGGGTGCTTCAGCAGGAACAGGAGGGCCCAGAACGAAGTGGGCCCCGTGTTCCCCTGGGAGGCCCAGAGCATCATGAAGTTGAACTTGTCCTGCATGTCCGGGGCTACTCCCTGCTCCTTCAGAAACTGAAGCATGTAGGCTATCCAGTTGCTGATGCCATCCTTCTCCAGGCTGTGTTTCACGGAGAGGGTCTCGTGGAAGAGGCGCTGGAGCCGGCCCACTTCTAGCCACTCCCGGGGCCCCAGCAAGGAGTAAACGAACCTGGGGAACAGGCGGTCATACTTGCGGAACTGCACAAACAACTCCTCTGCCTGCAGTAGGTCCTGCTCCGTGTCTTTCGTGTAGCCAAACAAGCTCAGGTAGCCGGCCTTGAACAAGGCGTTGTAGCAGAAGTGAAAGAGGCCGTCCTCTTGCCAGCTCCTGGCATCCGGACGCTGGCCCGTGGGCCCCAGTATGACCAAGGAGAGGCAGTCCCGCATGGTTTTGTTGAGCTCCTCCAAGCCGTCGCCCATGAGGTGCTTGGTGCTGGCTGAGTGTATCATCCGGTGGTCTCCTGGCCCCGAATGGTACCCAAATACCTTTAGCACCAGTTTTTCGGCATACTCCACAAAGTCTAGCTTCCTCTTCACATCCCTGAGGATGGGGCCGAAGGAGAGGGGGTCCATAAGAAAGGTGAAGTACTGGCCCCCGAGCTGCACCGTGAACACATCTCCGTGCTTGGCCCTCATGTGCTTCAGGAATTCCAGCATATTCTTCCGGAAAGCCATGGCGTGGCCCAGCCAGGGCACAGAGCCCTTATCCAGAGGGGGCTCCTGGGGCCTGCGCTGCCGGAGCAGCCCCCGCAGGCACAGGCATCCCACCACGACCACCAGCAGGGCTCCCAGGACCAGACCACAGAGCACCATGGCTGTGCACTCCCTGGTTAAGATCTGGACACGCTGCTCTCTGGGTGCTAGCGAACAGCTGCGAGGCCTTGACTATGGGAAGGTCTGCCCACCTGGACCTTGCCCCGTGGCTGCGAGTTATAATAAGTAATCCTGGCAAAACAGCAAGTGGGAGTGGAATGAGCGCTTGCTAGAGCTTGCTGCTCACGTGGGAGACCATTGGGACCAGGAGACAGCCTCTGGCTTATGGCCACAGCCTCCTTGCCAGCTTCAGACAATGCTCTGGCCTTTTCAGACTCAGCTCCAGCATCTTCTCCACAATGCCTCCCTTGACCTCACTCCCATCCCCTTGGCTTGCTGACCACTCACAACTTTATTTACTCATGTGCACTAAATAAAGTAATGATTCACTAATTTGCTATTTGATTTATCAGAAATGCACCAAGCTCTCAGTTTCATATCCACCCTCATTTCATATGACTCCAGTCTCTGAGCCTCTGGCCTCAGGCCCTGTCTCTGGCCCAAGTGGCTTGCACACTTCTCTAACCAGTACAGGCTGGAAATCTTGAACCTGGGAAATGCTGGAGGTAATAGAGACCTCAAACCAATGGCTTTATTTCACAATAGGGTCCCAGTGAAACAGGGACTTTGACAGCTGCCCTGGCCTGGGTAAGCTGAGTTGACTGTTTACTCAGGGTCTCTGTGACATTTCAGGTCAGGTCCCAAGGAGAAACCTGTGCCATTGACTCTGATGTTTTAGTCTAGCAGCCTCATCCATTGTTGCAGTAGGCGAAGTTCAGACTCAATTCGGCCACTTCTGGTCACTCCAAGTGACTCTAACTTTCTCAATGACCTGCAAACAGGGACTCTGTCTCCTCAAATAACCAGAGGATTCCACGTGCCCTCCTGAGTGAGTCTCCTTTGCCTTTTGCAGCTCCCTTCCACAGGAGCTGGAAATACGCACACTGCCTCAGTGAAGTCCCCTCTGATTGCTCAGGGCACAGCAAGTACTCAGCGCCATTAACTTTCTCCAGCGTTAGAATCTACTAGGAATCTCTGGGCCAACTCCAATGAGCTGAACTTTGTCCCCCAGTTTTCGATGGGGGGCAGCACCATCTCCAGGCATTCTCGCTTTTACTCATTCATTTCCTCACGCCCACTCGTTCATTCATTCCCTCCTTCCTTGGAACAGCCCCATCTATCCACCAAACAGATATTCACTTGCCACCTACTGCCAGAAATTTTGCTACAATCCTGAGTGAGACAGACACAGTCTCTGCCTTCTTAGAGTTATGGCCTAAGGAAGGGGAAAAGATCCTAAATCATTGCCCAGAGAAATATGTCATTCCAATTGTGTAGAGCTGCAAAGGAGAAGAGCAGAGTTGGAAGGGGGTGGGGTGTCAGGAAGACTCCATTAATCGGGTGGTAATTAAGTAAAGGCCTAGAGGATGCTATGGAGGGCGGGACCAATAAACTGGCATTGGTCCCATTGAGAAGGCATAAAGTGTCTAAAACAAAGCGGAGTCATTCAGGTCAACCAAGATGGCTGCCAGTCAGTCATGACACTTTGGTTCAAGAGGGAAACTACCCAAGTCAGAGCAGACACATCTGGCGAGGAGACACACCTAAGATATCCCCACATGTGACCAGAACAGCCATGTCCGCAGAGGGGGACCACCCGTAGATAGGCTCCTGGGAGATTCCCCGCTTGCCATCAGCAGTGCCAAGACATTTATCAAAAGACCCAGAAGGGCGGAGTGCACCACTTTCAAGGTATACCTGAGGCAGGGCCAGACCCCTGCAGAGACAGCTGAGCTCCACACACCAGAGTGTTGCTCCAGGCCACACCAATCTCCCTGGGCATCGTCCGCTGCAGGCTCTGCCCTGCTGGACTGAGGACTTTGCCTGCCCTGCTGCCCACCTGGCTCTGGAGAATTTTTCTTGCAAGACGCTGACAATTCCCTTGCCCACCATGGTATCTCCCAGCCCTGCAGACTGAGATTCTGGGACTCAGGTTCATTATGCCCCATCGATTGCTGTGTGCATATGTTATATTTCTCTTAGATTGTGAGAGTGTGAGTAGGATATTAGTGTGTGTTGATGTTCTACTTTGAATGAACCTGCATTTAACAAAAGCTGAGTGGACAGCATGGTTACTGTGTGTGAACCGTGTCTATTCCTTGGTGCCCAGCTGCTGAGCAGGCAGCAAGCAGAGCAGCTGCCCATTGACTTACAGGAAGGACTCTATCACGAACATGCGTGACAAATGCCAGGCCAGGTCAATGGGAGTTGTGCGTGGTGGTGGTGCCGCTAGAGGTGGGGTGGGTGGCTCAAAGCATGTGGCAGAGAGCATTGAGGTACAGGGTGTGCACCCACTCAGGCCAGTGTGGCTGTAGTGCAGGGAAGAGCATCCAGCAGGGTACAGGCTCCCTAGGCTCAGCATGGATGCTCACTTTGGTCCATCGCGCTGCACAGAACCCTCTCACACCACCCGGGCGTCAGGATCCAGCCCCTGAAGGGCCACAGGATGGACAGGCAGTGACTACTGGCTTCCACGGGTGGAGGCTGGCCTGCCCCAGGGAAATCGGCCCAGGTGGCTGCCTTCCCAGCCCTCCTAACCCTCCCGTGGGGACCTGGGGACCGCGGCCAGCGATCCACAGAGAGCAAAACAAAGCCATCACGGAAGCTCCGCGGAAGGGTGGGGGCGAGGTCACGAAGATCCGCCACAGGGTGGCCTTGGAGGGATCAACAACATACCAGGCGGCCTCCAGGTAGGCGCGCTCGGGCAGTCTCAGGCCCAAGAGCAGGAACGGCGGCGGCGACTCCTGCGCGACTCGTGCACGACTGCACCTCTGGGCCAGCGCAGCAGGCGAACCTCAGTGCCGGGGCGCCCTCTGCCGGTCGTTGCTGGGGATTTGCACCGACTCGCTGGGAATCTGTCAGCTCCTCTGCAGAGCATCAGTAAAGGAGCCCGGCTGGGGTCCCAGGAGGACTGCAGCCCGGCGCGCCTCCTTCCCTTCCGCCACCGCGGTTGCCAAGCCGCGCCGAGGCGCGGACTCCCGGAAGCTCTCACCCTCCATGCCCCGAGGGAGCCTCGTTTCATTGTCCTGCAGCATTTTGTGTGCTTGTTTTTCGCTCCATTTGCACATTCCATGGTGGGCAGCGGGGTGGGTTGAGTTCTCTGAACAGGGCGCCAGCGAGTCTCTGGTCCTGTCTGCTCTCGTCTCCCGAACCCATGTATCGCCCAGGACTTTGAGCAACTGGGCACCGACCAGAGAGGGGGGTTCTGTTGACCAGTCGTGGTTCCCACAGTGGGGTTCTCTGTGGGCGCTGTAGTCCAGTCGCACCGTCTGTACCCCAGTCTTGTTTGCCCTTTGTTCCAGTTCTAGAGGACATCAGCTGCTCCCCCAAGGCCTGCCACGTGCTGCCCCCCATGCGCACCTGTGTGTGCTGCCCTCCCCCGCCCCCGCCCAGGATGCAACAGTGGCACCGTTGAAATAACTAGAGACGCGGGGGAGAGTCATTTCACGCTGCCTACAAATCCGGTAATAGTCTCCCTTAACTTAGGGGTGGGCTTATTTATGGTTTCTCCATCCGCCTAGCCTTCAAGGATCCTTCCTTTTTCCAGAAATTGAAGGAAACTTTGTCGTGGCAGCTGGGCTCTTGACTGTCTGGCCCAAGGTTAACCAGCTGCCAGTCAGCATCACATACCCCTGTGTTAACCTAACACTAAGCTAAAGCGAGAGGCAGCCAGTGTTTATGTGAGATCACAGGAGAGCTCTTCTGGAAGCTCTGATTCAGGCAGAACCCCAAACAGTGTTTCGATTATGGGCTAAGGGGAAGGGGAATGATTACGTGAATAGAAAGGACTAAACGTACCAACAGATAATGGCCAGACTGTATAGAAAAATAGAAATCTGACCTTCAATCCTCAGTAACCAGTCTAGGAAGCCAAAATAATTCCCGTAGCCCCCCAAAGCCAGAATGTGATGAATGCAGTCCCTCAGCCAATTGCAAGGGATGTTTCGCTTCTAGCTAACCCTCATGCCAACACTCTCCAACCAGAGCATACCTGAAGCCTTCCCTTTTTTCTACTGTAAACCTTTGCCACTTCTCTGCCTGCTTGGAGACTCTGCCAGATGCAAGGAAGCGACTATGGCCGACTCCCTTGCTATAATAAACTCTGAGTAAATCGTGTTTGCTTGTTCTCATATGGGTGGTCTCTGTTTATTTCCACAACTCTGTTTGAAAGCTTAACTTCCTGATGTGCTGTGTGATGCTGGGTAAGCCACTTCCTCTCTTTGGGCCTTATTTTCTTCAACTGAAAAACTGGTTCAACGTGTGTTTTATTCAACAAATATTCCTTGGCCCATAGAGAATTTGGGCCCTCAGAGGTGCTAGACATTGGGCAGCTGTCAGAGGCACCAAGATGAACCTATCGAGGAAGTAGGTAGGCTGTTCTCTAGAAATGTAAAACCCAGTGAAGGAAGGTGGAAACGTGAACAGGACTAGTCAAGTGAGGTGCATGCTGCTGTGTTAGTATCCACGCTGCAAGGGTGCAGCGAGGTGGATGAGGGTGGTCAGTGGGAAGACCGCCCGGAGGGGATTCCCGGAGGCAGCCTCCCCTCGGGCTGCCCGCTCTCCTACCCACCCCGATCCCTGCAGCGCGCCCCTGAGGATGGGCAGTGCTTCAGTAATTCTCCTTCTCTGAGGATGAATGGACCTGCCTGGCCCCACTCAGGGGCCCTGTACAGGGGCGTGATGCTGGAGAATTGTGGGGCTGTGGCTGCCCTGGGTAAGGCCCTTTCCCCTTGGACTGTGCCTTGGCCCTTCAGAGTTTCCTGGTTCCTTCTTCCTCAGAGGCTCAGGTGTCTTGAGAGCCCTTGGCCGAGCAGCAACTTCAGGCTCTTGGATTCTTAATGGCCTGACCTCAGTGGTTCCTGGGAAGTAGGAAGTCCTGGTATCGATTCAGGCCTCACATAGGACCTCCCTGCCCCGGGGTGAGAGCTGCCCACCCCCCAGCCCTGTGTTGTGGGTTACAATGGGAAGAGACCAGATTCCTGGTGCCCCACTGAGGTCCCAGTTCCCCATCTATCAGTTTGGAAGACCTGGCCCAAA